AATTAAAGTCGATTTTAGTCTTTGTGAAACAATACCCTGGTTGGGATACAGAAGGGCGTTCACTCATGTATTCCAACTCAGTGTCAACACTCTTTCGCCCCCGAATAAATGGCATCATACAATATATTCTTGATAATTATATGAATTGAGCAGCTTAACAATAAAATGCTGGCAAAAGTTAATCTATGTAGAATACCTCCCTTTTTCGCTTCCCAACAAATTTGTAATGATGTACACGTCACAAGAAAGGACTCAGAAATGTTGTTATTATTCATTTTTGTTTCTTTTCATGAGATTAACCTTAAACTCAGCCCCCAATCCTGGAACTAAACCCACCCGAAGGATCCATTATTCACGCCGTTCTTCTTTCCTGAACGATTTAAAATGCTAATTTTGATTTTATGTCTTGAAATTGGAGATGTGAAGGGAGGCAATGAATTTTAAATTGTTGAGCAAAGGGGTTTTGGTACCAGGGGGCAAGATGATGAAGATAAAGACAGAGGACCTATGCAAATGAAGGATACGAGAGAGAAAGAAGCACAAAGATGCAGGACAAGAATAATACATAGGAGGATAGAGGATGAATGGGGATTAAGATGACAAGTGGGAGGGAGTAGAGGAGGACGAAGATTTTCAAATAGTGCATAGAAGAATTGAGGAAGAGCAGGAGGAGAAAGTTGACAATAAAGGATAAGAAGATGGGGAACGATGGGAAGAGAGGGATGATGGTGGAAGAGAGAGAAAGCACAAAGATGCAGGATAGGGGTTGTAAGAAATAGAAGGATAGAGGATGAATGGGGATTTAGATGACGAGTGAGAGGGAGCAGAGGAGGAGGATGGTAGGAGAAAGATGTGAATGAGGGGTACTGAGAATAATAATAGTAAGTAGATTTTTAAATAGTGCATGGAAGAATTGAGGAGCAGGAGAAGGAAGAGAGAGCCATGAAGAAAAAAACTGAGAGATAGACGATATGAAGAGGTGGAAAGAAAGGGATAGAGAAAACAACGGGGGGGGGGGGGGGGGGGGATAATACGACTGTGGATGGGAGAGATATAAAGAAGAGGGTGAGACAGAGTAATCAAAAAATACCTTTTTCTGGCATATCCCGAAGCATCACAGCTGAGGAAAATACCAACTGTTCACAGTTTTAGGGTTAATTGCCCATTTGCCATAAACCGTATTTTGTAAAAATTTGTACATGAATGCCAGATTCCCTATAGCAATATAGTTAATCACATTACAATTTACAATGAAAACGATATCAGCAATATTGGTATGTAAATAACTTTATCGAATCTGAAAAATGAGGGTAATAAATGATGGACAGATACAAGGCCAATGGGAAGATCTGGAGGTGGGAAGGGGGGGGGGGGGAGGGGGCATGCTAAACTTCTTTCATTAGGTAATTGCAACGTGACATGACGTACTTCTGCCTGTAGAGCATAAGAAACAACCTAGGGTGATATTCCATTCCACAAATGAAAAAACAAAAGGAAACTGCAAAGAGGCGACAGAAATTTGAATCAGTCATGAGTTCTAGCTAGTGAAACATTTTTAGAATAATCGCTTCAGTGTTTGCATTTTATAATAATTGATGCATGCAGTCCTACAGTAAAAGTAAAAAGGGATGATCTATATTGGATTGGAAATAGTGTCAGTTATTTGGAGGCACATTGATGATTTGATCTTTGATTTGTCTAATTTCATTTTTGTTGCTGTTGTTTTTGTTTCTCAAATTATCCCAATGTTCATGCACCAGATTTCAAATACATAACCAGTTCGGCTCATATTGTTTTTAAATTGAAAATGGTAACTTTCTGACACGACCATGCCTGGATATCAATGTGCACTTTAAGCTGGGACAAAAATAATCAGATGCAGAGATTGTTCTATGGTTCAAGAAAATGCAAATCAGTTCTCAGTGAATATATTAAAAGGTACATTTGAGGAATTTTTCACCTTTCCCCAAATTCCAATACTAATATCAAATATATCAAGAAATCAAGATAACCAAAAATAGTAAATTAAATGTTTCTCTCGAAAACTGAATCAGAAAGCTAATTTGGTATTTTCCCCCAGGCACTTTTACAAATATATGTACCAACAGAAAACAAGGAATTACCAAAGAAGTGAATTTCTCTTTCAGCATGTTAATATTTTGGCTGCTACTTTCAAAATCTAAGAGTTGAATTTGAAAATAAAACATTTTAACAGAAAAAAGAGGAAAAAATGAAAAAAGACCAAGGAGATAATACTATGAGGCCTCTTGGAGACTGGAGGATCTGTTCTTAATACTTTGGTTGCATCCTTCACCTCTGCACAGTTGCACAGTTACTACAAGTAAAATTTTGCACAAAATAATCTCCACAAATTGACGGAAGGATTACTTTGGGCAGGTTTGCAGATTATTTTGGGCAGCTAACGGCTTTGCAAAATTACCACTTTCCAGTCTTGATTAGCTCCTTGACAGTGATTAGCTCATCGAGAACCCTTTTAACATTGATATAGATTAATCTTGCACTGGGAAAAGTTGAATAATCATGAAGCCTTTGGTATATCTCTAAATACAATGTGGCACAGGGACATTTTTCTTGTGGCATATTTAGAGTGATTGTAACTCGACTGACAATGCCTTGCAGCTGCGCATCAATACTGAACCTTAAAAGAGCAACATTTGGCATTTCTGCATTTCCTCAGAGTACATTTCTAATGTGCTGCGGTACTAATTTCCCCATCTCTTCTCTCAATTCTCCAGTGCCTCTGTCAACCTTCTCCCTAAGCTCCATAACAATCGATGCCATAATGGCATCAACTCTTTATGTGCCACACAAAATAATCCCCCTGCGTCCGATTGCAAATTATCATGCAATAGATATAACAAAAGGCTTCAAGATGGTTTAACTGTTTCCATTTGAAGATTAATCTGTACCGGTACTAAAAGGATTGTCGAAGAGTAAATCAAGGCCGGTAATGGGTAACTTTACAAAGCTATGGTGTTGCACAAATCAATATTTCTGTCAACTGGGGCCTATTGTCGGGTGCAAAATTGCACGTGTGGCAAACTACCGGGCATACACATTAGCAGCAGCAGTCTGTTGAGAGCAAGATGATTGTTTACTCTGTGATTAAACGCCTTCTGACTCTAGTGATGTCAGCAGCAGGATACAAGTATTACATTACGATTAGTTCAAACACAGTGTGCTTATTCCATGATTCTATTTGTTAACTTTTACACATTTTCCATTGTAATGACAATATCAGGAAGCACATTAAACAAAATATAGTCACTTTTAATAGTCTTTCCTTAATACACTGCATACACTTATGAGGAGAATTAATGCATCACCTCCCCTCAATTTATTCAGGGGAACTTTTTCTGTCTTCACAAAAAATCAATAATATACCAAAAACTCTTTGCAAGTTCTGCATTTACATTAATTCATTCAGACTAATGACATTTCTTTAAAAAAGAGGACAAACATAATGAAACAAAATGAAACACACAAAACCAACAAAACAGTAAAACCTGTCTTAGTGGCCAGCTCTCTTTACAGTCCACCTTTCTATAGTGGCCTTGTATTGTGTCTTTCTCAAGAAAGAAATGTGTTCTGGAACCCGTCTAGAAAGACCACCTGTCTGTTTCCCTCTGGTGGCCTTTATAGACAGGTTTCACTGTAATTATAGGATGAAAGAGTGACATGACATTTCCCAAGCACTTAAGATGAATACTTGAGTCACAAACACATCTTTGTCATACATCCTTTTTGGGCCTCATGTTACAAATTGGTTTTTCATGTTTGCAATCTTAATATTGATTCTTCATCTAAAGCCAACTGACAGCATGACAGATTTCTTTTTTTAACAACGGAAACGTAACATTTGATATGTCATTTACAACCAAAGTAAACTCCATTCGGAGGAAGTGTCATCGATTTAAGTATGTTTCCCAATCATCACCCTTTGAAATTTGCATTAAGGTATTTCAAAGTTTTGCAGGATTTAGCTCAATGTTTTGAGCACTTTGTGAGATGTACATATAAAGAAAAAAGGATGACAGGTTTTCCATAACAAATCATTCCATGCAGCCATTTTGTTTCCTGCATCTACAGTAAATATTTTCTATAAATGAACAAAAAGCACATTGGAGCTGGTTAGACTGACTGGCTAGTATAAACAAAACAGATTAAAGAAATTATACATGTATAAGAATTTATGATCTTTGAAAGTAGTTTTGACATTAAATGTAGGTCGCCCGCATAAACCCTTGTAAGTTGTTTTGTGTAACAGAGTGTCTAGACTGTAAGACTATGTGCACTTAATGGTCTACTGCACCCCATAGGCTTTGCACTTTGACAAAGGAAGAAACTGACTGAACTAGGCTCTGCTCAAGGCTTTATGGGAATGTTTTTATTTATGTTTAAGTGCCAAATTAGAGTCTGTACCCGCACACTATGTAAATGTAAGGTGACTAATATCTCACAAGGGAAACAAAAACTTGCCTTTAATAGAATGTATACACATAATGCTTTGTAAATCATTTTTAAGACGTGGAAAGTATGGGGGTATTTCACAGATCAGCGGTAGAGGTTAATAGTTTCGGAAACCAAACGTCAGAAATAAATTCCTGGAGGCATAAATCACAAGATTTGATCAAGAGAATGTTAACCTTATACACATACCATAACAATGGCTATTAATGTTTGTTGAAACATACAGGTTAGTCTTGCCTGCAGGCAGAAATATCATGCAAAACAACTACAGTTTTTTTTACGTAACAACCTTGTAGTTTTAAACTCTGAGGTTTTGTTGTACATGTCCTTTACCATTTCAAGCAGATACAAGAGCACATTTTAAAAGAAAAATCAGGTTTTAACAACTGACTTCAATAGGATGGAATGTTGGGGGGGGGGGGGGGAGGGGGTGATGGGTTGGCACACTTGTTTGATTTGCAAATAAAATGGTGAGCCTACCCATGCCAGTTTGTTGGCTTATTTATGGGGGGGGGGGGGGGCTTCTTTGCCCAAATGGCTTTAATAAGAGCACATTTGGCTAGTTAAGGCAGTCTACCCTGCTTGCTAGTTGGCTTGTTGGCTATAAAAGAGAGTGTGTCTACCAAGGCCACATTCTACTAATAAATAAAGAGAATAATAGAGAATTGACCAAATTTTTGCTAAGTATGGGCTTGGTTGTTTTAGGCTGTATACATTTAGTTGCAGACTTGCTTTTCTCTAATCGCTGAAACACTGGATAACCGCACATGAACATTGGAGAGTGGCTGTCTTCCAACATCAGGTTTCAGGTTTGCTGGCTGGCTTTCCTGGCTTATGTTCATGTTCCAAGTGGACGCTTGATCGGAGCATCTGAGCAGCATACTTGGCTTGATTTTACCTCCTTGTTGGCTTGTTGGCTTGACACTTGAAGACAACATCACATACCATGATTAATATAGAAGAAGTTATTCTTCATTGTCGATTAAATTTCTGTAGAAAGGGAAGAGAAAATCAAAATATATCAAATGGAAGTTATTGCAATGAAACTCTTCATATGCCATACAAATAATGTTTCTGTGCTTTGATTTGAATTATTGGTTTCTGCGTCTTTTTTTTCTTCCTTTTCATCATACATTTTGATGAACATAATATGGTATGATACAATATTTCAAGTATATATAATTTTATACAGAAAAATAAAGGAAATTAAACAAATATATTGAATGCTTATTGCTTAGTTAACATACATTAGATGCAGGAGGGGGGGGGGGGGGGGGCTACAGAAAAAGCAAAGTAGCTTTACGTACCCGCACCCCTCAACTTAGATACAACCATAAACAAATATAAACAAATAAAAAAAGAAGATGGACTTGCAGAGAAGAAAAGGAAAGGGGAGAGAAGGAGCATTTCTGTTAATACAATACATCTGCTGATTGAATGTAGGTTCATTCCTGGATGGATAAACGATGCTTTCATTGTGATTATCATGGGGTAGATATACTAAAAGCTTCAAGATTATTTAACGGTTGCAGTGCAAGAATATTGGTGTTCAAAGGATTACCATGGAGCTAACCAAGACCAAAAATGGATACTTTTGCAAAGCCACTGTGTTGCAAACAGCAATCCTTCAATATGCAACAAAGTTTTGCAAAAGAAAAATCACCCTAAGACAATTCAATAGCTTTAATTATCATCTTATGAAGCATGCACAAATTGAGGTACAGATTATGTATTCACTCATCATACAATCTGCTACATCACAAGCTTGCAGTCTCCAAATAATATATCTTTTATGCAAGATCATTCTCCTACTGGGACGTATGTCTCCATTAAACACATTCATCATCATTCCAATTGGAGTTCACTAAAGGAGAATGAGAGAGGATCGTGAAATCTGTACTTTCTAGATATACATGTACATGTAATAATTATGATTCATAATGTCATACACACTTCTAACTTAAACACCAGGGAAAAAATATCTGAAACATTTTGGGGGCTACTGAAAAGCTTGCTTGGATGAAAATAACACTATTTAATTTGTTTTGAATTGAACACTATGCACAATTTGGGGGACTCTTTTTGGCACGAGCCGCCGTGAATTTTCCCCCTGTTAAACACCTCTATGCACCTCCAAAGGACTTTGGATATAATTATCCCAGCCTCAGCTCCTGCAACCTAAGTTAGCACTCAGTGCATTCAAGGAATTATGAATCCTAAAAGGTACCCACTTACATCACCTGGGTAGAGTGAGGCAAATATAGATTAATGTCTTGCCAAATGACATCAGTGTAGCAGCAGGATTTGAACCCTGTACCTTGTGGTTCACAGTCCTGAGACTTATCCACTAGACCTCAACACCTAACGTACAGTGATGTTGCCTTATTTGTTTTGCCTACTTATTATTACATTTAATAGGTTATTCCGTACCTATTTATTCATGTATCATTTATTCATTTTTTTTTTAAAGGAATTTATTCATTTTTCTACAATAACAATATATTATCCTTATTTCATATGACTTGAGTGCTAGTTCCAAATTGAAACATGTTGAAGGTCAATGAAGGAGAAGAAAAAGAAGAAGGAGAAGATGAAAAGGAAGAAGAAGAAGAAGAAGCTAACAGGTAATATTGTCATTGAGGAAACATTACACCATTTTGAAGACATTACTTTAAAGGTAGTGCAGGTATGTCCATTTGCTGGCCAAACAAAATGATAAGGTTAAATTCCAGAGGCAATTGAAAGCTA